TTACCTAACACATTTATCCCACTTCCAAGGATGCATTTGTCTTCAAGGCACTTTTAAGAGTGTGGTTTCTACTGTTCAAATAGCTTCGGTTGAAAAGGGACAAGTTTAGAACAGCAAAAACAATTGCTTAAACTTATTGTTTTCAATCTCTTTTAGGGCAATTTGCTTGGACGGATAAAGAAGTTAAAATGTAAAATATGGTTACTTGAGGTCTCACTAGAGAGTGCAGACTCAGCAAGATAACCTATGGTCGTGCCGCCCCCTCCCTATGGCTCCTCCGGCCGTGCTGCCCCCCCTTGCCTGGAGGAGTTCAGCGCTGGCCGGCAGGCGCGCCACTTTTTGAAAATGTGCTGAGGGGAAGCGGCTGCTTCCCCTGCACCCCACTAGCTACACTACTGGGCCCATGGGGCGGGGACATGGACCGGAGGCTGCTCTCAGCCCCTCCACCCTGGGCAGGTGGAGAGTCCATGGCTCCCAGCCCGCTCCAGCTTCTGGCTAGGCTGGGGGCAGGGCCTCAGGTTGAAGGGGTAGGGTGGGGCCATGAAAGGGGCAGGGGCCCTTTGCCCCCCCACTTTTGGGAAGGCTCCACTGCCCCTGTCCAGGCATCTGTTGCCCTTAGGATTCTGCAGCTTCTTGCTGGGTTCAGTCAACTGTCTAGCTGCACACGATGACCTCAGCTTTACATACCCTAATTTCAGAGCTCGATGGAGGGGGCTACGCTCTGATTTCTATTGGACATGGGCCAAGACAGTTCTCAGATTTCAGTTCTCATTTTCTCTGCTGCTCCCGCAAATATCCAGTAGATGGTGCTGGTGTATAAAAAATATCTTCAATCCTTTTCTTATCTGATTCAGTTCAAGAATTGTATTTCATTATTAGCCCTTACTATCACCTAGAATCCTCCCCCAGCCTTTAAAGGAATATCTCTTAATATTCCAAAGTTATATCATGATTTATGTCTTTCAGCATTCCTTCTTCCTTGTGCCAGGCAAATCCTATTACTTCTAAGGTCCCTCCTATAAATCCCCTATAATGTTCTACATTTGGAGGACATACTCCATGCATTCTTTGGTTGTATATAAACATGTCACATTATTTAGGGTTTACAATAGAACAAAACACATTATTCCCATATGGAAGGATCTGACTCACAAGACAAAAATGTTCCCCATACTAATTTGGGGTGAAAGACAGTGTGACCGGTTGGATCACAGAAACCCCCTTGGGGCTGCCAACTGATATGCCAAGACTACTTCTGCCCCTGCTTTCCCTGCCAGCTTGGGACTCCAGCACCCTGTCTTGTTGAGCCAGACACGCCAGTCTGATCCAACACAGACCCAGGGTCTGAACCACATGCCCCAAAGCTGCACACTTAAGAAGTGTTCCTGTCTTTAACACTCAGATGCCCAACTCCCAATGGGGTCCAAACCCCAAATAAATCCATTTTACCCTGTATAAAGCTTATACAGGGTAAACTTATAAATTGTTCGCCCTCTATAACACTGATAGAGAGATATGCACAGCTTTTTGCTGCCCCCCCCAGTATTAATACATACTCTGGGTTAATTAATAAGTAAAAAGTTATTTTATTAAATTCAGAAAGTAGCATTTAAGTGGTTCCAAGTAGTAACAGACTACTTAGTGAAATTACCAAGTAAAATAAAATAAAACACGCAGGTCTAAGCCTAATACAGTAATAGAACTGAATATAGATAAAATCTCACCCTCAGAGATGTTTCAATATGTTTCTTTCACAGACTGGACACCTTCCTAGTCTGGGCACAATCCTTTCCCCTGGTACAGCCCTTGTTCCAGCGCAGGTGGTAGCTAGGGGATTTCTCATGATGGCTGCCCCCTTTGTTCTGTTCCACCCACTTATATATCTTTTGCATAAGGCGGGAATTCTTTGTCCCTCTGGGTTCCCACCCCTCCTTCTCAATGGAAAAGCACCAGGTTAAAGATGGATTCCAGTTCAGGTGACATGATCACATGTCACTGTAAGACTTCATTACCCACTTGCCAGCCCACAGGTATACAGGGAGACTTACAAGTAAAACCGAGCCATCTACAGGTAATTGTCCTGGTTAATGGGAGCCATTAAGATTCCAAACCATCATTAATGGCCCACACTTTGCATAACTACAATAGGACCTCAGAGTAATATTTCATATTTCTAGTTTCAGATACAAGAGTGATATATTTATACAAATAGGATGACCACACTCAGTAGATTATAAGCTTTATAATGATACCTTACAAGAGACCTTTTGCATGAAGCATATTCCAGCTACATTGTATTCACACTCATTAGCATATTTTTATAAAATCATATAGAGTGCAATGTCACAGACAGGTTATCCATGGTATATTTGCTTTGCAAGGAAAACAATGTATAGTTTATAATTTGGGGTGGAAACATGCCGCTTGGATTTCTTGGGGTAACAGACAGTTTGCCCAATTTGACCTTCAATCTTACAGCCAGTCATTTCTAGTTTGCTTAGCTTGCAGCTCCCCCACCCATCTTTTGATTCACACACAATGTGCAGTGGGCTCCTTTGCATAGAAAAACAGGGTGTCACCCTTGCTTGGGGTATGTATAAGCTACAAAATTAGGTCGATTTTATAGAAGTCGATTTTTAGAAACCAATTTTATACAGTCGATTGCGTATGTCCACACGAAGTCTCCACTGCCCATTGGAATTCTGGGTTAAGCTCCCAGTGCCTGATGGGGCAAAAACATTGTTGCAGGTGGTTTTGAGTAAATGTCATCAGGCCTCCCTCCCTCCATGAAAGCAACGGCAGACAATTGTTTCATGCCTTTTTTCCTGGGTTACGCGTGCAGATGCCATACCACAGCAAGCATGGAGCCCGCTCAGCTCACCGTCACCGTACGTCTCCTGGGTGCTGCTGGCAGACATGGTACTGCATTGCTACACAGCAGCTCCTTGCCTTCGCAGCAGATGGTGCAGTAGGACTGATAGTTGTCATACGTCTCCTGGGTGCTCCTGGCAGACCTCGGTGAGGTCGATCTGGGGCGCCTGGACAGATATGGCCAACCACCCTCCCCCCTTTGAAATAAAGTAACTATTGTTTTGAAACCATGCATCGGCGGCAGCAATTCGGGGCAGGGGGGGAAAGCCGTGATCGTGATCAGCGGCGGCAATTCGGCGGCAGGTCCTTCGCTCCCAGAGAGAGTGAGGGACCCGCCACCGCCGAATTGCCGCACGTGCCACCCCTCTCGGTTGGCCGCCCCAAGCACCTGTTTGTTAAGCTGGTGCCTGGAGCCGGCCCTGGGGAGGAGGGAAGGACAAGGCCACATTGCTTATTGTAGCCACACTAAATATCAAACTGTTTGAATGACAGCCTTCTGTTGCTTTGGCCATCCTCTGGAGTGGAGTGGCTGGGTGCCTGGAGCCTCCCCCCCACGTTCTTGGGCGTCTAGGTGAGGAGGCTATGGAACATGGGGAGGAGGGTAGGCGGTTATACAGTGGATGCAGCGGGGGTCTGTGCTCTTGTTGGCTTTCTTGCAGCTCCAACAGACGCTTCATCATGTCCGTTTGCTCCCCCAATAGACACTTCATCATGTCTGTTTGCTCCCCCATTAGCTTCAGCATCGCATCCTGCTGCCGCTCTTCATGTTCACTTAATTCTTTCCTGGCCTCTGCCACTGAATGCCTCCAGGCATTAAGCTGTGCCCTATCAGTGCGGGAGGACTGCATGAATTTGGAAAATGTGTCCTCGCGAGTGAGTTTTTTTCGCCTTCTAATCTGCGATAACCTCAGGGACGGAGATGATAGGGGAGCTGTCAAGGCTGTATCCCCACTTTGAACTTTAGGGTACAAGAGTGGGGGCCTGCATGAGGACTCCTAAGCTTAACTACCAGCTTAGTTCTGGTCCGCTGCCACCATCCCAAAGCTAATTCCCTTCCCTGGGTAGCCTTGAGAGACCTTCACCAATTCCCTGGTGAATACAGATCCAAACTCCTTAGATCTTAAACAAGGAGAAATCGACCCTTCCCCCCTCCTTCCTTTCACCAACTCCTTTCACCAACTCCTGGTGAATACAGATCCAAACCCCCTTGGATCTTAAAACAAGGAGAAATCAATCTGGTTCTTAAAAAAGAAGGCTTTTAATTAAAGAAAAAGGTAAAAATCATCTCTGTAAAATCAGTATGGAAAATAGCTTTACAGGGTAATCAAACTTAAAGAGCTCAGAGGACCCCCCTCTGTCTTAGGTTCAAAGTACAGCAAACAAAGATAAACACTCTAGTAAAAGGTACATTACAAGTTGAGAAAACAAAGTAAATCTAAGACGCCTTGCCTGGCTTTTTACTTACAAGTTTGAAATAGGAGAGACTTGTTTAGAAAGATGGGGAGAACCTGGATTGATGTCTGGTCCCTCTCAGTCCCAAGAGCGAACCACCCCTTAAAACAAAGAGCACACACAAAAGCCTTTCCCCCCCCCAAGATTTGAAAGTATCTTGTCCCCTTATTGGTCCTTCGGGTCAGGTGTCAGCCAGGTTACCCGAGCTTCTTAACCCTTTACAGGTAAAAGGATTTGGAGTCTCTGGCCAGGAGGGATTCCATAGCACTGTACACAGGAGAGCTGCCACCCTTCCCTTTATAGTTATGACAGGAGCGTAGAAACATTCTGTGCTCTACGATTCTGGGGGGGACTGCATGGTCACCTGTGCTGCTGAGTGCTGCTGAGTTCGCCACGCTGACCAAACAGGAAATGAAATTCAAAAGTTCCCGGGGCTTTTCCTGTGTACCTAGCTAGTGCATTGGAGTTCAAAGTGCTGTCCAGAGCGGTCACAATGGAGCACTTTGGGATAGCTCCCGGAGGCCAATACCATCGATTTGCATCTGCACTACCCCAAATTCGACCCAGCAAGGTCGATTTTAGTGCTACTCCCCTTGTTGGGGAGGAGTACAGAAGTCAATTTTAAGAGCCCTTTAGGTCGATGGAACGGGGTTGGTTGTGTGGACGCATTAATTTTTAAATCAACCTAACACAGCTAAATTCGATCTAACCCCATAGTGTAGACCAGGCCTTGGTAACTAGTTCTTTTTAGCTAGGTTGGGAGGGAGAGAGAGGTTTTATCCATAGGCAAATTATGAGAGATTCTTGCCTAGGTGATTAACAATAATCTCTTTTAGCTATTTTAGTTTCAATTCTTGGGGAAACGAACTCCCAACCTTGGCTGATCTATGGGTCCCTGTCTCAGTGTCCATCAGGGTCTGAGCCCCAGGAACAGGGATGCTGGGATAAAGTGTGGCCAGGACGTAAACAGCCCTGCACTGCTCTGCATCCACAGGAAAAGGTCACTGTTCAGACCCGCTGTGCACAGAGCTGAGTGGGGACAGATGCTGGAGACGGTGCTGGGGACAAGGAGCTGGGCTGCTCCCCGTCTGGCCATGTGCCTGGCTCCAGCCCACTGGGAACTGGCCTTGGGGGCTCACACCCAGCCGGAGCACCTGGATTCTGCCTGGGTGGCTCGTTAACCCCTGCAGCAATTAACCCCCAGGAGAGGGGAAGGGAGGACACCGAGACTGAGCCCTGAGACACAAAGGGCTGCAAAAAGAAAGACGTGGAGGCACCCTGACCCCACTTCGAACACCAGGGGAGCAGAGACATCAGTGAATGGCTGGATATGGGGGAGCCAGCAATTCCTGCTGATGGGGAGAAAATAACAGGGGGGCTGGGGAATGTCCCTGTCTGGCACTTCGCTCCCCACATCTAGAGCTCGAGAACAGGAAATTCTCAGGGAGACGAGGGATTCACAATAAACATTTTATGAGGAATTTATCTGGGAAAATCAAAATCCCATTAGGTAAAAACTTTAGCAAGAAATAAACATTCCTCTGAAACTTGCGTTTCCAGAAGCAGGAACATAGAACTGGAAGCGGGCTTCTGTGTCATTCGATCCAGTCTCTGCTATTGCAGAAAAGCAAAAAAACAGGACCCCACCTCCCCACTGCCCCATCCAGAAACAAAAAGAAAAGCCCTCCCAGGGCAGTTAGTTCAGGAATAAGCCCGGTATGTGACAATGTGAGCTGAGCCCCTCCCTAGAAACAGATGAAACCCTTCCCTTCAGCTCAGTAAATCCCTTCCACTGATGAGACAGCTGGGGTGGGATGGGAGAGGATCAGATAATAATGAAACACAGTAAAAATGACACTTCCCCTCCCTTGGCACCTCTGTCCTCCTGAGCCTCTGAACACACAGTAATTAGTGACGACTCCCTGGGATGGTGTGTGACTTATCCCCATTGCACAGATGGGAGAGGCACACGCAGAGAAAGGAGGGGCAGTGATTGGGATGAAGTGACACTAGCAGAGCTGGTTATTGAGCCCAGCAGTCACCCCCACCCTGCTCTAACTACTAGATCACACTCCCGCTTGGAGCTAGGAACTAAACCCAGGACTCCTGAGGCCCAATTCCCCCTGCTCTCACTACTACACCATACTGCACTCTCAGGAACAGGGCAATCTCCCATCTCTCTGGGAATCTCCCCCAGGAATTCCCCAGTCTCCAGCCCCTGCATTTACAGAGTCCATCCTCTCACTTCGGATCAGCAGCTCTTGTTGCTTTATACTATGGACCCACAGGGCCCCCCACTCTTTCCCTGAAAAACTTAAAACTCTCCTTTGCTGTGAGGCCTGCAAAAAAAACTGACAGTGGTTAGGGTGCTGGTATGCTGAGCGTGCTACCCATCATGCTACCAATACTGTCTGCTTCCTTGGATCCCTGCCCTCCATCTGTCCGTCTCCATCTGTTGTCCCGTCTCTCCACTTAGATTGTAAACTCTTTGGGGCAGGGACTGGCTTTTCATTCCACGTTTGCACAGCGCCTGCTGCAGAGGGGTCCTGGGCCATAACACCAATAATTAATAATAACAGCGTCCCCTGCCCTCACCCCCACCCTGAGAGGCTTTGGGAGCTGCAGAGACAACATGGACACAAAGTGCAATGGGGCATCTTCACCTCTTCTCTGACCTGGCAAGTGTGTGTGGCCCCTGCAGAAATGTCTCCTCACTAATTTCAACACCTGCTCCCCCCAGACCTTGAAATAACCCGTCTCCCCAGTATCCAGTGCTCCCTCCTCTGGCCATACTGAAACCCAAAACATCCACCCGCCTGGCCCCCCTCTACCTAGACCATCCTGAAATGAAGCACATTTGTACGTTGCGTTAGCAGGGCATAGAATCATTACATTCAGGGAGAGCTCCTGCCACCTTCTCTGTGGCGTGTCTAGTGGGACATTAGAGAGACCTTCCACTTGCAGCCTTCCCCACAGAATGGACATTTATAGAGTCTCTCATGTGTGGATTCTCTGATGAGCAATAAGGGTGGAGCTCAGCGGGAAACTTATCCTGCACTCAGGGTAGTTATAGGGGTTTTTTCCTGGTGTGGACTCTCTGGTGTTTAATCAGGCTGGAGCTCTGGCTGAAGCTTTCTCCACACTCAGGACATTTATAGGGTCTTTCTCCCGTGTGAATCCTCTGATGCTTAGTAAGGTCTGAGCCCTCGCTGAAGCTCTTCCCACAGTCGAGGCATTCGTAGGGTCTCTCTCCCGTGTGGATTCTTTGGTGGGAAATGAGGTAGGAGCTCCGAGTGAACCCTTTCCCGCACTTGGGGCATTTATAGGGTCTCTCTCCCATGTGGATCCTCTGGTGGGCGATAAGGTTGGAGCTCACGCTGAAGCTTTTCTCACAGTCAGGGCATGTCCAGAGCCTCTGCCCAGTGTGGGTTCTCTGGTGCACAATAAGGTTGGAGCTGGCAGTGAAGCTTTTCCCACACTCGGGGCATTTGTAGGGTCTCTCTCCTGTGTGCAGTCTCCGGTGTGAAATAAGGGAGGAGAAAGTGGCAAACTGTTTCCCGCAGTCAGGGCAGCGATAGGGTCTCTCTCCCGTGTGTGTTCTCTGGTGCTTTGACAGGTCGGCACCCTGAGTGAACCCCTTCCCACAGTCCAGGCAGTCATAGGGCCTCTCTCCTGTGTGGATCCTGTGATGCACAATAAGGTGTGAGTTGCGAGTGAAGCTCCTCCCGCACTCAGGACATTCATACGGTTTCTCGTTAGTGTGGGTTCTAAGCTGGAGCATGGTTTCACTGCGGTCCTTCAAACCTCTCTAAGTGGAGTTACCTCGTCTCTTTACTGGGGGGTTCCCTGCTGCCTCTCCAGCCCGCACCGACCCTCGCAGGCTGCTTCCTGCTCACCCCTCCAGGAAATGTTCCCTTTGGATGGTCCCAGTGCCGACCCGTGTGATTCCACTTGCTCAGGGATTTCCTGCTTAGGATTCGTCTCCTCGTTTTCACTCACCATCCCATCACCTGCCGGGATAGAGGGAGTATCCAGACAGGAATCGTCCCCTGTGCCGGGGAGAGGCAACCTCAGAAAGGGGACTGGGAAAGGGGGGGGGGGGAATCAAAATAATTACTGGGGAGATTGAATACTCAGGAGCCCAAACCCCCACCAGCCCTTCCCCAGAAAGGGGACCAATTCCGCTGCCACGCCCCATCTGAACATTCAGGAGAAGGGAGCAACTGCCGAGAGGCGAGAGCCATGAGTGACATCTCCCATGAAGATACGACTCCGGCTGGGCACAGTCGTGACCTGGGTGAGATGCAGCAGAGCTGGGGGACCTCACAGGGACTCAGCGGCAATCCCAGCTGTTTATGTCGATGGTGGATGGTTTCCATGCCCATGTAGCCAATTCCTCACCTGTATGAACGTTTCTCAGGGTCCCTCTTTCCTCAGAGCCTTGGGAGATCCAGGACGCAACTGCTCTTCCCCTTGTTCCAGCCTGGAGATCACGTCAGGACTGAAAACTGGAAGACCTGCTCAGAGGAAGTAAAATAGGTGAGCCGAAGGGTTTATTATTATCATTATTCATGTTTGTTACCTTTGTGCCAAAGGGCCAGACAAGAGTGGGGCCTCAAACACAGAGCAGTAGTTGACCCCTGCCCCAAAGAGCTAACAATTTAGTCATTCTGAGACAGAGTTGATGCGGGGTGGGTGCCTTCGTATAAGCCAAATGGAGGAGGAGATGTTCCTGAAGGCCCTCTGGGGAGGTCAGGTGGTTCCTGGGAGGCGTGTGGTGCCCCCTGCAGGAGATTCAGGGGTTTTCATGCCCTGGGGAATTTTATGACTCGGGCCAGCATAACTTCTTCCCCCTTTCTAGCCCTGCTGAGACCAGAGCCCTCTCTGAGGCTATGTCTACACTACAGAATTAGGTCGGATTTATAAAAGCCGGTTTTATAGAAACCGGTTGTATGCAGCCGATTGTGTGTGTCCCCACCTAAAATGCTCTAAGTGCATGAAGTCGGCGGACCGCGTCCACAGTACCGAGGCTAGCGTCGACTTCCGGCGCATTGCACTATGGTACCTATCCCACAGTTCCCGGAGCCTCCGGCGCCCATTGGAATTATGGGTTGAGATCGCAATGCCCGGATGATGCAAAGCAGTGCCGCGAG